CCTCTCCCCTCCCCTCCTCTCTCTTCTTCCCTCCTCTCCTCTCTCCTCTCCCCCTACTCTACATACACTTTTCTCTCATCTCCCCTCTTCTTCTCTCCCCTCCCCTCTCCCCTCCCCTCCTCTCTCTTCTTCCCTCCTCTCCTCTCTCCTCTCCCCCTACTCTACATACACTTTTCTCTCATCTCCCCTCCTCTTTTCTCTTCCTCCCCTCTCCCCTCCTTTCGTCCTCCCCTCCCCTCACATATCTCACCCTACTCTCCCTTCCCTGTCCTATCTTGTCCTGCCCTGTCCTGTACTCAATGGTGGGATTCAGCCGGCTCGCACCTATTTGGGAGAACCAGTTGTTAACTTCTAAGCAGTCTAAGCACGATTCAAGGTGCTGGTTATCACCTTTAAAGCCCTACATGGCCTAGGACCCGGATATCTATGAAACCGTCTTCTGCTGCACACCTCCCTAAGACCGATAAGATTGCACAAGATGGGCCTTCTCCAGGTGCCATCAGCTGGACAATGCCGACTGGCGATGTCTGCTTTCCTTAGAGGATTAGATATATATATTTTTACACAACATGTACATAAACTTTGCAGTTGGTCACCATGAAATGCGGCGATAAAGCCTCCTGAAGCCTCTGGAGGGAGAAAAATGGCCCAATGGACAACCCAAACTTCCGGTTTGCACATTGGGCCATTTTTTTGCCCTCCCCAGGCTCCTAGAAAGCCTCTGGGGCCTGGGGAGGGTGAAACATGGACCTACTGGGCCCACCGGAAGTTGGAAAATGGGCCGTTTCTGGCCTCCAGAGGGCCTCCGGAGGGGGTGGGGAGTCTATTTTCACCCTCCCCAGACTCCAAGAAAGCTGTGTGCCCATGCGCAGGGCTGAGGGTGTGTGTGTGTATCTTGTGCACATGCACAGGACAGGAGGACCATTAAATAATGCGGGTGGGCGCACAAGAGGTGAAAAAGGTTCACCATCACTGGAATTACGCACTCCCAGATTTTTTACCAGAGACAGAACATCAGAGCCCAAAACGTCTCCATCTGCGCACCAGATGCCATGCCGTTAACTGAGACCAAGTGAAGAAGAGGTTCAACAGAAGAAGAGCAGGGAAGGGAGGAGTTAATACATTACCGGACTTGAAAACACTTCATCGTAATAAGAGCTAAAAAGAAAAATTTAGGAACCTGATAACATCTTAGGTTTAAAGAAAAAAAAATAGTTCACCAAGGGAAGACAAGCTCATTTCAAATGAATAAAAGAGGATTGATTTCTCCCACTGCTGATTCACCTCTTGAGAAGTTTCACAGACAGGCATTAACCAATTTTCTTGGGAGGGATAAATCTGGAAACTAATGTTTTTCTTCTGATTATAATTGTCCTTTGGTCTTTCTTCCTTCCTTCCTGCCTCTGATAATATTAGGGGACACTTCTTTTGAAGTGCAGCTTTAAAGCAGATGCCAAATTCCGTTCTTTTCTCTATTAGTTGCTTTTATACTGTAGCTACCACTTCACTCATCCAGGGATGAGAGCAACTGGTAGAAATGGAAATGGACCATAAAGTTAGCTTAAAAGAAAAAAAAAACCTTAAGATGGTGGCCACAATAGGTGCAATCAAAACCCTGCCTATTTTATATGTGTGGCAGATAAACAACGAGGTTTGGTCAGACCATCATGGTTACCATTTTGACCACACCCATAAACAACCGTAGAGCCAGTTCGATGGATCTTGACAGACTTGAACACTGGGCCCTATCTAGTGATGGGATTCAAATAATTTAGCAACCGGTTCTCTGCCCTAATGACCAGCTGGGTAGACGGGGCTCGGTGGCCACGTGACTGGGTGGGCGTGGCCAACTCAACATCACTCAGGTAGATGGGCGCTTCACCTTAGCTGTTACAATGTAATTGGGGTTAACCAGAGAGGCAGTTTCTGTAAGCAGGGCAATAAAGATGAGGCT